ACATTATACTCAGTGAAAGAAGCCAGACATAAAAGATCATATATTATATAATTCAATTTACATAGGAAATGGAAATCTCTAGAGATAGAAAATAGATTAGTGGTTCCTTAATGCTGAGGTGTTGGAGGGATTGGGAGTGATGGCTAAAGGGTACGAGTTTTCTTTTAGTTGTGATAAAAACGGTGATGGTTGCACACTGTGAATATACTAAAAACCGTTGAATTGTACACTTTAAAGGGCTGAATGGTATGATATGTGAATTATATCTCCATGGAACATAGAAGAAGAAATCAGAAGAAGCAGATTTTTGCAGGAGTATTTACCAAATGGTGCGCCTCAAAAAGGTTTAATTACCTTATATAAAGATCTATATAATACTAAAAACCACTGCATTATACACTTTAAAATGGTGAATTTTATGTTATATGAATTCTGTCAGTTTTTTTAAAAAGATCTGTATGAGGAAAGGTCATGGAAGCCCCATAGACACATCCAAACTCCCTGAGGGACTGAATTGCTGGGCGGAGGGCTCTGGGGACCATGGTCTCAGGGAACATCTAGCTCAATCGGCATGACACAACTTATAAAGACAATGCTGTACATTCTACCTTGGTGAGTGGTGTCTGGGGTCTTGGAAGCCTGTGAGCGGCCGTCTGGGATGCTCCACTGGTCTCATCCCTTCGGGAGCAGGGGAGAATGGGGAGAGCAGGATACAAGGAAAAGATTAGTCCAGAGGACTAATTGTCCACAGCTACCAAGGCCTCCACCGGACTGAGTCCAGTACAGCTAGATGGTGCCCGGCTACCACCACTGACTGCTCTGACCAGGATCACAACAGAGGGTTCTGGACAGAGCCGGAGAAGGATGTAGAGCATAATTCGAACTCACAAAAAAAAAAGACCAGATTTCCTGGCCTAAAGGAAACTGGAGAAACCTCGAGAGTATGGCCCCCAGACACCCTTTTAGTTCAGTGGTGACATTACCTCCGAGGTTCACTGTTCAGCCTGGGAGTTGACAGCCCTGTAAAACCAAATGAGACTAACGAGGTACAGGAGTCCAGTGACAAGGGCCAGAAGGCAGAAGGGAACAAGGAAGCTGGTGATAGGGAACCCAAGGTTGAGTAAGGATATTGTTGATGTGTTGTGAGATTGTTAACCATTGTCATAGGGCAACATTTGTAGTAACTGTTAAATGAGGGACTGTTTTGTTCTGTAAGCCTTCATCTTAAGTGAGAATAACAGCACAATTGGAGGAGCGTAGTCGATGTCACTGAACTGTGTATGTAGAAATTTTTGAAATGGTGTATCTTTGGCTATGTATATTTACACCAAAAAAAAAAAAAAAAGTTGAGAATTTAGAGGGTTGATATGTTGTGGGGTTGTTAACCAATGTCATGAAACAATATGGGTACTACTGTTTCATGAGAAACTATTTGTTCTGTGAGCCTTCACCTGAAGTACAATAAAATTAAAAAATTAAAAAAATAAAAAAAAAGATCTGTATGCTTAAAAATCTTAGTGTAACCAAATAAATTCAGCAATGAGAGCTCATTGAAACAAGTCAGAGCTCAGATTATGATGATATTAACTCACCCAACAAAAGATCCAGAGAATGATTAAAATTGCATACAAAAAGGGTTCAGTGAGCACACGGCTGTTTATAGCAGCTTTATTCATAATTGCCAAAAATTGAAAGCAACCCAGATGTCCTTCATTAGAAGAATGGATAAACAAATTGTGGTGCCTCCATACAGTGGAGTATTATTCAGCAATAAAAAGAAATAATCTATCAAACTACAAAAAGACATGGAGGAACCTTAAATGCATATTGCTAAGTGAAAGAAGCCAGTCTGAAAAAGCTGCATACTGTATGATTCCAACTATATGACATTATGGAAAAGGCAACGCTATAGAGACAGTAAGAAAAATCAGTGATTGCCAATTGCCAAGAGTTCATGTAGAGGGAGAAACAGTTGAATAGGTGGAGCACAGGGCGTTTTTAGGGCAGTGAAACTATTCTATATGATGCTGTAATGGTGGACACATGACAGTATGCATTTGTTAAAACCCATAGGACTGTACAGCACAAAGAGTGAACACCAATATAAACTATAGACTTTAGTTAATAATGTATTGATACTGGTTCATCAGTTATAGTAAATGTACCATGGAATGCAACATGTTAATAATAGGAGAAACAGTATGCAGCGGGGAGATATGGGGTATACTGGAACTCTGTACTTTCTGCACAGTTTTTCTGCAAACCTAAAACTGCTCTAAAAGTATAGTTTTTTTTAATAAATAAAAATTTTTAAGGGGCTTAATGAAAGCACTTGTTTGTCCAAGAGTCCCACAGAATGCTAACAAGTGAGGGTCCTCAAAATTATCTCAGTGGAACCTTCAATTGTTGCAGGAAGAGATCACCACTCCAATATCTGAAACAGTGAAGCCGAATTTATTACTTGCTAAGCAAAAGAGGAAGTACCTGGGTGGTGCAGATGGTTAACATGCTCAGCTGCTAGCCTAAAGGTTGGAGGTTCAAGTCCACCCAGAGGTACCATAGAAGAAAGACTTGGTGATCTACTTCCAAAAAATCAGCCATTGAAAATCCTATGGAAGTTCTGACACACGTGGGGTCACCATGAGTCAGAATCAACTCGACGGCACTGGTTGGTGATTAAGCAAAAGACAGTGATACAAAGCAAAATCTCTGAACAAAGCAAGAGCTGATACACCGTTTTGAGAAGCATGGATTTCAGGAATTGGCAGATTTTCAAAAATAGGAGTGTTTTAGGGATTGACTCACTTTTAGCCATGGCATTTTGGGATTGAGGGACCATAAAAAGCTGGAGTAGAAGCATGGTTTCTTGAGTGAAGCTGTGATCTTTCAGAAGCATAGGGTTGTCACTGACTGGCTGAGTTTCAGGGGCATGTACTGGAATAAAGTTGTTACTGTTACCTTGGGACAGGTTTAGAAATTGCTTATGGTTATTGCTTATGGCTTGGAACCAGGACAAAAAAACAAGTTAATCTTTCCCTTTCTTCAGTTTGGAGAATAGGAACTTCTTATTCTTAATCCCTACTATTTCTGATGCATTGACATGGCCTTAGGGTTATAGAGAAGGAAGAAAGTGTTGTTTTGGTTTGATATCTGCAACTTTTTAATGTTGAAATTGTTTGTCTTTCTGCATCATATAAAAGGCTTTCTGTGTTGGAAGTACACAGTAGTGCATCACTGTAATTCACTATATTTGGGGAAGTAATGATTCTTTAGAGGAAAACTACTGGATACTTAATGAGATGAACAAAATGTCTGAGATTATTTTAAACTCCAAGCCTGTATTGAGTAGTAGCCCATTACTCCTTTTGCATTGTGTAAAATATAGTCCTTGTTAAATTTCAAAAGAACTGCTTCAAAATATTGTTTGAGTAATTGCTTTTTGTTCTTTTTTATTTTTAACATTAGACTGCTACATCATAATTTAATTTAAAAAGCAAAATAGACATTACTGTTAACTGACAAAGTCCGTCAAAGGGGAAGTTAAAACAGTAGTTCATAACTCAGTGTAATTGAATGGCAGTTTTTAAAGGTTAATTTCAGCTGAAATTGTGGAGGCTGTTCAAAGTAAAATCTTTTCTCAGATGGTAAATCAGAAGTGCCTTTTTCAATCCTCATTGAAAAAAGATTTACTGAGCACATGCTACATGCCTTGGAGAATAGCAGTGAATGTCAGTGCTCCAGTCCTAAAAGAACCACCTTTGTATCAAAAAGGTAAACAGTTAAGTATAATTTAGTGCCTATCACATTATAATACAGATCTGTATAGAGTGCTTCCACCATCACCCATCTGTCAGTTTGTCGTACTGTGGTGGCTTATGAGTTGCTATGATGCTGGAAGCTTTGCCACTGCTGTTTCAAATAACTAACAGGGTCACCCATGGTAGACAGATCTCACTGGAGCTTCCAGACTGAGACAGACTAGGAAGAAAGGCCTGGACATCTACTTCCAAAAATTAGTCAGTGAAAATTGTATAGATCAGAAACAAATATTGTTCAGTATAGTGCCGGAAGATGATCCCCATAGATTGGAAGACACTCAAAATACACAGTGGCCGCAATAATAGACTCAAGCATACCAATGATTGTGAAGATGATGTAAGACTGGACAACTTTTTGTTGTGTTGTACGTAGGGTCACCGTGAGTCGGAGCCAACTCAATGATAGCTAATAACAACATAGAGAGGTTGGGGAGCAGAGAGAAGAAGGAAAGATAATTAGGAAAGTCTTAATAGAAAGGGCAATATTTGAAATGACCCTTGAAACATAAAACCTCACCAGGCATTTTATAAAAAGGCATCGTACACAGAGGGTCTGGCATGAACAAAGGTATGAGAGGACATGATGCATTGGAGGGACAGTGGTGTGGGAGCATGAGGTGTGTGGGAAGAGGCAGAAGGACAATTCAGCCCAAATTGTGAAAGATATTTTTTTTCCAGGTTAAGAATTAGTTAATTCGTAGATAGTCATAGAAGTTTTTAAGCAGGGGGGCGTGCTATGATAAGATCATTCGCAGACTGTGAAAGATACATTAGAGAGAAGAAGAAAAAGTCCAGTGGGTAGGAAGACTTTTGAAAATGCTAGATTTAAGGATGCTCTGATGCACATTCTTATTAACAGAAGAAAGCAGACTTTATGCCACATTAATCTCTTTCTATACATAACTTATATTTGATGCATCATCAATACTGTGATCTTGTCAAAATGCAAGCGCACCATTTGCCATCATCGGGGCCCCAATGCCCGCTCTTATGTGTGTGCACTTCTCTCTCTCTCCCTCTCTCCTTTCCCCCTCCTTCTCCCTTTCTCTCTCTGAAAAAATTAGCATCTATGCCAAGGAAAATTGCAAGTGTCAAGATTATTCATATTAATAGATCAGGAATGTCTAAAACAATTTGAGAAAAGAATGCCTTGATTTCTGACCATTATTTTGGTTTTCTTAGATAATTAAGTTGAAAGCTGAAGCCCGTCTGGACCTGCTAAAGCAGATTGGTGTTTCTGTGGACACATGGCTAAAGAGTGCAATGAACCAAGTGATGGAGGAACTGGAAAATGAGAGATGGGCCCGCCTTCCTGCAGTGACCAATAATGGCACTTTACATTCGGTATGGTTCTCTTCTTGCATACGATGGACTGACTTACATTGAAGGATGCTATTCTCGGACTATGCAGCCAACCTTAATAGCCAAGATTCAAAACAAAAAACAGTGGTTTTATTAGAGGTTGTGCGTGTGTGTGTGTGTTTTCCCCTTCAGCCTATCACAAATTGATTTTCCTTAAACTTGGTAAAAAAGGAGAGAGGGCAAAAAATCGTGCGTTTTTTGTTTTGTTTTTGTTTTGAACCTTCAGCAAACCATATTATCACTATTTGCCAAGCTCGTTATCACATTCAGAGAGTAAATATGCTTTTTGTCTGGAAGCAGCAGAATAAAACATTTATTTAATCCAGTGTTTCTGAAGTTCTCAGAGGTCTTCCCTAGCAAAAATGAAAATCTCGAAAGTTGTAAAGAAGTGAAAGGAACGCTCTTAGCCTGTGGGTTTAGTCTAAAGATGACTTCAGCCCACAAGAACTTTCACTGTCTCCTCAGAGCATCTTTCATCAGGGAGACAGTACAGTGTAGTTTTACTAACAAGGTTAGGACTCAAGCTTAAGTTTTCTTCAAGTCCAGGGCTCTTTCCATCTGATGTCATTCATTTCATCCTCTTAGTTTTGCACATTGGAAATCTGAGTACCAAAAAGTTCAGTGATGTATCTGATATTACATAGCTGGATATGTGATGCATAGTTAGTCAGACTAAAGTAATTCTTGCTGCCACCTCCTCACCCATTAGTGTCATCTTGTTTGTTTCCTTTATGGCATTCATTACAGTCTGTACTTGCCCTTTTTATTTGTTTTCTTTGTTTATTGTCTGTCTTCCTGTCTGGAATATAATTTCTATGTCTGCCCTGTTCACTGCTCTGCAAAGTGCCTGCCCCATAGTAGGTACTCAGTAAATATTTGTTGAAGGAAGAAATAAATGAATAGATGGAATGAATAGTGGCAAACTAAAAGCTAAAAATCTAATTTCCCAACTTCCCATTATATCCACTGTGCATTTTCAATGCTTGTGCCCTTCAGATATACAGTATCTTTTCTAGAGAAATTAGCCAACATTTAAAACTTTCCTGGAAATGTGTCATTTTCCTTGCATAGCATTCTGATTTTCTAATGGGAATGCATTTGCACATTTAAAAAAGATTGTGTGGGAGTGTGCATTTTAAGGAAAAACAATCTATTGAAAATTTATTTTTTTTTCACTATTGGTAATACAGCTGGAGAAAATAATCAGGCAAGAAGAGCTTTCCGTGTTTTTAGTAGAACAGAGTTGCTCCACGTCATGGGATATCTCTTCCAATTGCATCTTGTAAAAGTCACACTTCCCATCTACTTCAGGTTATTCTGTTGTACAGGGCTTATGATGACAGCAAATTCCAGGCACAAACTGGCTTTTGGCTTCTACAGCAGCACTGTTGGCCAACCATCAAGCTCATGATTTCTTCTTGGACTAGCACCTTTTCTAACTAAATCAAAACCTCCTGACTGTGTCTACTTCCTGGGCAAATCAGAAATGGACAAGACTTGGTCCTGCCCTCAAAGAACTTATAATCTAGTAGAGCAGACAGACCTTTATAGATCTTAATGATACACGGGAGCGTATGACTGGGCTACTATGTAGCAAACTCAAAATTCCTTACTCCTAACGCATCAGCAGTGCAACCTTGGAAAAGTCGCTTCTCTCTGGATTTCAGAAAGTTGGGTTAAATGACTCGAAGTTCACCTTCCAACCCCAGACATCTCATGATTCTGTGAAACGCTGCTGGAAAAGCTCAATACGAGCTATTAGAATAGGGAAGAAGTTTACTCTGTAGGAGGGAAATGTCATTTGAGATAGTCCTTGAAGAATTTTAACAGGAAATAGCTTCTGTGAGTAAAGGAAGGGAATGAAGGAGATGTGCTTAGCACAGTGCCAGGCACATAATAGGTGTTGAATAAATTGAGTGTTCTTGAGTGCTGTCAGAAGATATCAGCTCATCTGGAGACATGTCCTTTCCTCTGTGAAGAGAGCATTTTGCAATCCCATCCCACTCTTCTTCCCTCTGTAGTCAGTCTTATGGAGCCTGTGTCTTCCCTCTTTAAGCTGAGAGATTATATTTTGAGGAAGCTTTACTAGCATTATAAATAAAGAGGAGATGTAGGCACAGAACAGCTTGATGAGGTCCCAATATTTATTTAACCTGCTTTTAAATGACATGATTGAAATAATTTAGAGGGAGCTGTATCTCTTTACATTGACAGCTAGCTGGCTGAGGTGCATGAAGCTGAAATACACATTCTGGGGACCAAATTACTCCTTCCATTATAGATGCCAACAAAAGCATTAGTCATCAAGTTTAGAATTCCCTTCCATCTGGAAAACATGGTTAATACTACTGTTAGACATTAACAATGTAACTGGATAGTGTTCAGACTGCTTTATGGAAGATAAATGTTTTTAAAATATGTTGTCTATTTACCTTATAAAATAAGGAAGGAACTATACTTACCTGGAAATTAACTCTTTGCCTTCTATATCTGTCATGCTGTGGTACAGAATAGAGGATTGGGAAAGGAAAAAAGAATCCCAGAATAGCAACATTTTTAAAAAGGAGAGCAGTCTGCTGATACATTTATTCAATTGATGGGTGACTGGAGCCTACACACAGCTTCCTATAATTGGATCACTGCCAGTGACCTGCTCAGCCTGTCCCTCATTCCTCCCCTCTTATTTTCCTGCCTTCTCTTACTAAAAAAAAAAATAACCATACCCAGTTTACAGCCTAATTTTTGAAATTACATTAATTTTAGAATAGGATAAATTGTATACCTAGATTACAAAAAATTAGAAAGGAAAATTACTAACAGCTCCATCCTTATAACACGACTGTTAGCAATTTTATATATTTCCTTTGTCTTTTTACTGTACTTTTTAAAAAATATTTGTCACAGTAAAATTTAATTTTGTAACTTTTTCATCTAATATTCCATGTTTGTTGTATGCCCTTTTAATCATCCTTTTAATGTCTGCGTAACATTCCATCAGGAAAAAAACCTCAGGGCCATCGAGTTGATTCTGACTCATAGCAACCCTATACAATACAGTAGAGCTGCCCCATAGGGCTTCCAGGGAGTGGCTGGTGGATTCAAACTGCTAACCTTTTGGTTAGCAGCCTGAGCTCTTAACCGCTGCACCACCAGGGCTCAGGAAGGTGTACCATAATTCACTTAATTATTCTCCTATACAAGTTGCTGTCGAGTGGAGCCTGACTCATGCCAACTCCATGTATGTCAAAGTAGAACTGTACTCCATATGGTTTTCATGGCTGATTTTTTTTTTTTTTTTTTCAGAAGTAGATCACCAGGCCTTTCTTCTAAGGTGCCTCTGGGTAGACTCAAACTTCCAACCTTTCAGTTAGCAGCCAAGCACATTAATCATTTGATTTGCACCACCCAGGGACTCCATCATCTTTCTAGAGATGAGGTAATTGGGGTTGAGAAATAATTTTCCCAAGGACACACGGCAAGTAAGTGGCACAGTCAGCATTCAAGCCCAAGTCTGTCAGGCCCCAGAATCCATTGCTTTCTACGTCATGGCAGTACCACAAGTTGATGAAGCCTTTCAGAGGTTATTTTGCTAAGTACAAGAAAACAGCAACTAAAACCAAATCAAAAAAAATTCTCACTTGCTCTTACAATAAAAGTACACAGTTTATAACATCTGAGAAAGGAAGGTGTCAGTACAGCTAAAATGAATAGTTTTGACTGAAGTTCTGTCAAGTGACAGGAAAGAAAAAGGATGAAAGAGTGGTAGTTAAGAGACAGATGAAGAATGTGATTTTAGAAATGCTGGGTCAAGAAAAAGTTGTAACAATTAAGTTGCATAGGGTAGAAGGGGGAAAAGGAAGAAATTATTCTGAAATGACGTGCTTTGGAAAGCTCCCAGAGCAATGCAAAAGCATGTGGTGGTGACCCCTATTACTGTCACTGCATCCTGTCATTCCCTTCCATGAGAATCGAAAATGAACTCAAAATAAAGGGGGAAAGGAATGTTTAGTATCAACCAGTGTTGCCAAGATAAAATGTTTTGGATTGATTCCCAGTGCCAAAGCACAGTACATGTTAGTTAACATTCCTTATATATCTTTGGAAATTTGTTCTACCCACATTGGCTTTAATTTTAGTTTTTATAAATGTATGGGTGTTTTGGTTTTTTTATAATGCCCTCAGTTTTTTTGTTTTTTTAATGTCCATAACCTTCTGTAGAATGTGAAGATGGTGTTTACTAAGTATATAAAAATATTTTTAAAGTTAGTTTTATGGCAATTTCTAGTATATAATTCTTATTCTTTTATATGACATAATGCCTTGTTAGGCCTTGTTGGAAAACAATCAATAGAATCATAAGTCTAAGATTTAAGGGTCAAGATTTGAGTCTGTTTTGCCACTGACCCAACTGACCCTAGATGAATTGTTTGTTTAAATGAGGCACACAATTACCTCATTCAGCTGTGAGTTTTCAGTAATATTTATAAATGAGAATATTTCAAGGGCATCTGAAATAGAAGCAGTAAATGTAGCAGGGGAAATGTTGTATTTATTCTGGACTACCCCCTGCCCCCATTCTATAGAGTCTTATTAGAGAAACAGCAATTAAGAGGAGAGTCAGTTTTTAAACGGCGATAATTACTCGAGAAAAATTAATTCATTAAAAGATGGAACTTCAGACGGAGCCAAGATGGCAGACCAGACACATTGAGTCATCTCACTGCAACAAATACACAAAAAAAAAGTAAAATATATGCAGACGTCAGTCCTAGAACCCTGAACTTTAAATGAAGGGTTAAAGTATTAGATTGGAAGTCACTGAGGAGAAGAAGAAACTGATAGAAAACGGGGAAGGAATAGAGATACGAGGTGGAGGTTCCTGACCAAATAGCATGACTCATTTTTGCCATCTTGGAATAAAGCCAACAACCCCGCACGCAGAAAGACTCCTCTGTGGAATTCCCAATAGGAGATACAGGTAA